GGCTGTTCTTGTTCGCCCATATATACAGCGCTTCTGCTGTCAATCTTTCTTTATGGGTGTTAAAACCTTTCTGAAGTATTTTGATCCCTTCAAAATTAATCTTGTGTCCTGTTTCTAATGCATGTAACGCTATCGCAGACTTATTCTCAAGTTTCTTCAAATCAAACGAGGATTTGGGAACATTTTTCAAACATTGTTTGTGTTCCTTCAATCTTACATTCAATTGCCTGGATGTTTCTCCAACATAGGCTGCATTACAATCATGACAGTTGATCTCATACATAATATTCTGTTGTTCTTCCTTTGGTAACATGTCCTTAACTTTCACTAACGTCGATCTTAAGGTGTTACTCGCCTAAAATACACTCTTATATCATGTTTGTTTAGAATCAGCTTGATTTCTTCTGATGTTTCACTACGGTATGGTATGACTACGGTGTACTTCGAAACTTTTCGTATACATTCTAGTTTAGTTTTTCCTTCACTTTTAATAGTCTTCTTTAAAAACTATTTTGGGTAGTTGTTATCCCTAAGAGTAGAAAATACTTTATTTAATTCAGTTCGTTGGTCTTCCTCATCTGTAACAAGCTTAGTACTTCTGTTCATTACATTTTTTACAACATTAATTTTCGTGCACTGTGCATGGGCTGAATCAAAATCTACGTATCTCTCGGAATGTGTTGATTTCCTGTAAACACTTATTTTCAACTTATTATTATTGTGTCTACGTTCAACTAAACAATCTAGAAATGCTAGTTTGTGGTCAACTGATTCTAGTTCCTTCGTTAGCTTAATGCTTTCTGAAATGCTGTTTAGATTGTTAAATAGTTCTTCTAAACCATCCCGTTTATTGATAATAAAAATATCGTCTACATACCGTAACCATAACTTTGGTGGATATACACTTCTAGCGATTGCACTAGTTTCTAGGGAATGCATGAATAAATTCGCCACCATCGGAGAAACTGGTGAGCCCATTGCTATACCCTCTTTCTGTCTATACAGGTGACCTCGAAATATGAACAAGGTAGATCTTAAACATAATTCTAAGCATTTGATAACCTCCGGTGGATCTAATGGGCAACGTAAATTCAAATCTAAATCAGATTCTAAACAATCATTGATAATATCCAAAGCTCGATTGATAGGTACATTGGTGAATAAGGAAGATACATCAAAACTTGCCATTACTTCATCCTCTTCTATATCGGTGGTATCAATCAAGTTCTTGAATTCTATAGAGTTTTTAATTCCATGATTAATCAGTTTTTCATATGGTTTGAGTATCTTAGCTAGATATTTAGCTAGATTGTAAGTCGGTGAATTTGTAAAGTCTACCACTGGTCTTAGTGGAGTATTACTCTTGTGGATCTTTGGGAGTCCATAAAATCTGCGTGGGTTACAACTCTTTAGATATAACATAAACCATAAGGACGATCCTGGCTTAGCCTTTAATGACTGTAAGAGTTTGCTGGTTTCCGCCTTGAGTTTATTAAGAGTTGTTCTACTTTTTGCTTCTTTAATTTGTTCATACGGTTGCTTTTGTAGATGTTCCTTGGCTTTTTTATCATACTCTGTTTTATTCATAATAACTGTAGTGTTACCATTGTCTGCTCTCGTAATTATGATCGTTTTGTCATCTCCCAGCTGTTTTAATGCATAACATTCATCTTATTTGTGTTAGGATTATGAGGTTTCTGATGTAATAATGTGTTCATTATTTTATTCCTCAGTTCATTCGCTGTTCCGTTCGAGAGTACATTCAGAGCTGGCTCTATTGTTGGTATAACATTGAAATGCGTTAATTTAGGTCTATTTATATTTCGTGTGGATTGAGAATCCTATCCGACAAATTAACAATTAGTTTATTCATATCTTGTGTGTTAGATCTATTTTTGGTCTGTTGAGCTTTGCTATTTGATGTATGTTTCAACATCTTTTCAAACTTTCTAATCTGTCGTTGTTTTGATGATTGATAATAAAATTGTTCTCTGTGTTTGAAAAATTCATTAATATCTGATCTTATTTCTTTCGGTGCGATAACTGACAAAATGTCATCGATATTACAGACCCCTGAACGTAGTGACTCCAAATTCATAGTGGCTTTGTGAATACGTTCTCTAATAAATGTTCTAGTGGCTGAAATCGCCCCCCTGAATGCCCTGGTACGGCCGAGAGTGGGAGAGTCCGCTCTCTCTCTCGAAATACTCTCACACGGCCACGCGTATACAGCCTCTGCCAGGGAAGTCCTACTCATTGCCTTCTGGTGGCGGGGGTGTTGTCTACGAAAATGAGAGGACGAAAAGCGAATGTCCGGCGCTTTAACCGATTCCAAATCAATGGTGCACATGGGCTCCAGTATCCTGCGGGAACGAATGGCGTATGAACCAATCGTTGGTCACCTGCTACCATGGGACTGCATCTCCTTACGATGCTCCACTGCCTTGTGGGTTAGACCTTTAGGTCAAAGGCTCGGGGAGTGGCCCCCTAAGATAACCACCTGCTTCGGTTTGGGCACCCGGGCAGTATCACAGCCCACACACAAATTGATGAACTCTTTATGCCTATGGAAATTACCTTTCTCGCTTTGAAAAACAAGCAATTGATTCAGATTATTATCATTACAATTATTGTCATTATTAATACTAATATTATTATTACTACTATTATTGTCATTATTGTTATTATTATCATTATTATTATTATTTTCCACATTATTCACCCTCTTTTATACCTATACAGCGGCTCGTCTTTGGTGGAAATCCGACTGTATCTAAACGTTCTCGAGTCACTGTCCGGTTGAAAATTGTATGTTACCACCGAATATGAGTACTGAAGCAGTTTTTCTGAAACCACGTGCACCATTCAAACTGGCTGCCTTCAATGTTCGCACATTTATGCAGGTCGGACAACAGATAGGGCTGGCTATGTCTTCAGAAAGTCTTAATATCGACGTGTGTTGTCTATCCGAGACCCGTATTCAAGACTCTGGCGAAGTACTACAAATTCGATCTCCATCTGTCGCTTCGAAAAGCTTATTTTACGTGCGCTTATCCGGGGACCCTGTGGCATCTTCGTCTGGTCTTGTTGGCGTTGGTGTCGCACTAAGCGCTAGAGCTGAGGCAGCACTAGTCGATTGGATCCCCATTAACAGTCGGTTATGTGCTGTTAGATTAGAAAGTTCCATCAAAGTGAGAAGAAATCGGCGTGAGAAACGATGTCTTTTCGTCATCTCCGCCTGTGCCCCGACAGATTGCAGCCCGGATGCAATCAAGGATGAGTTTTACCACCAGTTATCAGTTCTCCAGAAAGTGCGTTCGACAGATATTGTAGTACTAGCCGGAGACTTGAATGCTCAGGTCGGGCGTCTAGGCACAGAAGAGAGTCGTTTAGGTGGCCGATGGGGACTCGTTGGTCGCAGGTCAGATAACGGGGACCGTCTACTGCAACTTTGCACAGACCACAACCTGTTTCTGGCTAGCACTAACTTTCGGCACAGTCATCGCCGATGTGCCACCTGGCGTCCTCCCTCTGCATCTCAAGCCTGGACTCAGATTGATCACATCGCGATCAGCTACCGCTGGCGTGGTTGTGTACAAGACTGCCGCTCCTTTTGGAGTACCTATCTGGACTCTGACCATGCCTTGGTCTGCGCCAATCTTGCCTTACTTTTCAGTGGACAACGAAGTGAACGCCATCAACGGATTGATGTTAGCAAGCTGGTTGCAACTTCTGTTGCAAGTAAGTATCGAACCGAGCTAGCCTCTAGGCTAGCTACCACTCCACCGAAAAGTATAGATGAGCATTGGTTGCAATTGCGTGACGCCATGAAAATGGCGGGAACAGTCAGTTGTGGGTTTGCGAAACGTCCCGCTTTTAAGCACTGGGTTTCTTCTGGTTCCTTACAACTCATTGAAGCCCGTCGGTCTACTCCGGGTGACCGTGAGTTTGACCATAAACGAAGGATGTTACGTAAGGAAATTGGGCAAAGCTTGTGTAAGGACCGAGAAGCCTGGTGGTCGATGCGTGCTAATGAGCTGGAAGCAGCAGCTGCATCTGGTAACTACCGGAAGCTCTTCCAGCTCATCCGAGCCACTGGCAGCAAGAAGTCTGGTGTGAGTGAAACAATCTGCGAGGATGATGGGATGCCAATCACTAACATCCATCGACGTCTTGGACGATGGGCAGAATTTTTCGAAGGGCAGTTCAACTGGCCTGCTGCTCCGGCAACATCGGTCAGACTGTCCTGCCCTCCATGGCCGGTGACGACTGATCCACCAAATGAGGCGGAAGTCCGCAAGGAACTCCAACTCTTGAAGCGTTACAAATCACCTGGCCCAGATGACTTACCTCCGGCTCTTTTTAAAGATGGTGGTGACTTTTTGACTAAGGAATTGACGACGTTGTTTACAAAGGTTTGGGAACTAGAGAGTGTACTAACGTCATGGAATGAGTCGATAGTTGTCCCTATCTTTAAAAAGGGTTCACGTCGTTCTTGTAACAACTATCGGGGGATAAGTTTACTTCCGATTGCGTCCAAGCTATTGGCTTCCGTCATTCTTCGTAGGTTGTTCAAAACCCGAGAAAGATTGACTCGCGAGGAGCAGGCTGGGTTTCGTTCTGGCCGAGGATGTATTGATCATATCTTCACCCTCCGCCAAATGTTAGAACATCGCCATACTTTTCAAAGGCCAACAATCGTAGTGCTTCTTGACATCAGGGCTGCCTTCGATTCGTTGGATAGGACTGTTCTCTGGGATTGTCTATTGAAGAAGGGTGTGCCTGAGAAGTTTATTAACATCCTAAAAGCCCTGTATAAAAACACCTCAGGCAGAGTGAGGGCATACAACCACCTCTCTCCATTGTTCCATTCGAGCAGTGGGGTTAGGCAGGGTTGCCCAATCTCACCATTCCTCTTCAACTTTGCCATCGATGACATTCTGGAAACAGCTCTGATGAATGTAAGTAATGGTGGTGTGGATCTGTTGCCTGGAGAAAGACTTCTCGACCTTGAGTATGCGGACGATATTGTCTTACTGTGCGATAATGCCCAAGGCATGCAATCCGCACTTAATCAGTTGGCAATCAACGTCCGTAGGTATGGTATGTGCTTTGCACCTTCGAAGTGCAAAGTACCTCTACAAGACTGGCAGGATTCTAATCCTGTACTCACCCTGGACGGTGAGCAGATAGACGTAGTTGAGAAGTTCGTGTATCTGGGTAGCTGCATAAGTGCTGGTGGGGGTGTGAGTGATGAGATCAATGCACGAATAGTGAAAGCCAGAGCGGCTTATGCCAATCTGGGCCACCTTTGGCGCCTTCGTGATGTTAGTCTGGCTGTAAAAGGCCGGATCTACAACGCGTCGGTGAGAGCAGTTTTGCTCTATGCTTGTGAAACCTGGCCTCTCCGAGTTGAGGACGTTAGACGACTCTCTGTGTTCGATCATCGCTGTCTCCGAAGGATTGCTGACATTCAGTGGCAACACCATGTCAGTAATGCAGAGGTTCGGCATCGTGTGTTCGGGCACAGAGATGATAACTCAATTGGTGTCACCATCTTGAAACACCGACTTCGGTGGCTTGGACATGTTCTCCGAATGTCGTCCCAGAGAATCCCACGTCGTGCATTATTTGCCGACTCTGGGACTGGTTGGAAGAAGCGGAGAGGTGGTCAGTGCATGACATGGTGTCGTGGCATGAAAGAAAGCTGCAAAGGACTGGCTTGTGTTGGTCCTTCACGACTCCCTGGTTGGGGTCCGAGAGATGGTGCTACACAGTGGCCAGAGACGTTATCAGATATGGCTCAGAATAGAAGCCAGTGGCGATCCTGCTGTAACCTTCTTTTACTTTCTTCATAAAAAGTGGTTGTGTCTCCGTTACCTGAAAGATTTCTTCTGGTTGTACCTTTTCGTTCCGTCGTTACTACCACACCACCTTACTCCAATCTCTTCGTCATTGTTCTCTTTTTCTTTTGCGTTCCTTAGTTTTTTTTCTCTTTCTACTTCTCTTCGAATTCCCATTGTTTTGTGTGGCGCATATATATTGGCGCTCTCTTGTACCAATATTTATGTGTTCAAATAAAATAATAATAAAATGATAATCGCCACTTTGAGTGACCGGAGATTTGACCATCAAAGATTTTGGAAAAACATTTTTTTTAAATATCGTAGATTAAAAATTCAGTGATTGTACCGGTTCTGTATTTCCTTTCATAATTTAATTCGATTGGAAAATAATTTATACGAATATTCGTCAAGATTAGAACGAATATTTTGACAGAAACTGGGTGCCAAGTATAAATTATTTTCCGATCGAATTAAATTATGAAAGGAAATACAGAACCGGTACAATCACTGAATTTTTAATCTACGATATTTAAAAAAATGTTTTTCCAAAATCTTTGATGCTCAAATCTCCGGTCAATTCTATTCGGTCACTCAAAGTGGCGATTTCAGCCACTAGAACATTTATTAGAGAACGTATTCACAAAGCCACTATGAATTTGGAGTCACTACGTTCAGGGGTCTGTAATATCGATGACATTTTGTCAGTTATCGCACCGAAAGATCAGATATTAATGAATTTTTCAAACACAGAGAACAATTTTATTATCAATCATCAAAACAACGACAGATTAGAAAGTTTGAAAAGATGTTGAAACATACATCAAATAGCAAAGCTCAACAGACCAAAAATAGATCTAACACACAAGATATGAATAAACTAATTGTTAATTTGTCGGATAGGATTCTCAATCCACACGAAATATAAATAGACCTAAATTAACGCATTTCAATGTTATACCAACAATAGAGCCAGCTCTGAATGTACTCTCGAACGGAACAGCGAATGAACTGAGGAATAAAATAATGAACACATTATTACATCAGAAACCTCATAATCCTAACACAAATAAGATGAATGTTATGCATTAAAACAGCTGGGAGATGACAAAACGATCATAATTACGAGAGCAGATAATGGTAACACTACAGTTATTATGAATAAAACAGAGTATGATAAAAAAGCCAAGGAACATCTACAAAAGCAACCGTATGAACAAATTAAAGAAGCAAAAAGTAGAACAACTCTTAATAAACTCAAGGCGGAAACCAGCAAACTCTTACAGTCATTAAAGGCTAAGCCAGGATCGTCCTTATGGTTTATGTTATATCTAAAGAGTTGTAACCCACGCAGATTTTATGGACTCCCAAAGATCCACAAGAGTAATACTCCACTAAGACCAGTGGTAGACTTTACAAATTCACCGACTTACAATCTAGCTAAATATCTAGCTAAGATACTCAAACCATATGAAAAACTGATTAATCATGGAATTAAAAACTCTATAGAATTCAAGAACTTGATTGATACCACCGATATAGAAGAGGATGAAGTAATGGCAAGTTTTGATGTATCTTCCTTATTCACCAATGTACCTATCAATCGAGCTTTGGATATTATCAATGATTGTTTAGAATCTGATTTAGATTTGAATTTACGTTGCCCATTAGATCCACCGGAGGTTATCAAATGCTTAGAATTATGTTTAAGATCTACCTTGTTCATATTTCGAGGTCACCTGTATAGACAGAAAGAGGGTATAGCAATGGGCTCACCAGTTTCTCCGATGGTGGCGAATTTATTCATGCATTCCCTAGAAACTAGTGCAATCGCTAGAAGTGTATATCCACCAAAGTTATGGTTACGGTATGTAGACGATATTTTTATTATCAATAAACGGGATGGTTTAGAAGAACTATTTAACAATCTAAACAGCATTTCAGAAAGCATTAAGCTAACGAAGGAACTAGAATCAGTTGACCACAAACTAGCATTTCTAGATTGTTTAGTTGAACGTAGACACAATAATAATAAGTTGAAAATAAGTGTTTACAGGAAATCAACACATTCCGAGAGATACGTAGATTTTGATTCAGCCCATGCACAGTGCACGAAAATTAATGTTGTAAAAAATGTAATGAACAGAAGTACTAAGCTTGTTACAGATAAGGAAGACCAACGAACTGAATTAAATAAAGTATTTTCTACTCTTAGGGATAACAACTACCCAAAATAGTTTTTAAAGAAGACTATTAAAAGTGAAGGAAAAACTAAACTAGAATGTATACGAAAAGTTTCGAAGTACACCGTAGTCATACCATACCGTAGTGAAACATCAGAAGAAATCAAGCTGATTCTAAACAAACATGATATAAGAGTGTATTTTAGGCGAGTAACACCTTAAGATCGACGTTAGTGAAAGTTAAGGACATGTTACCAAAGGAAGAACAACAGAATATTATGTATGAGATCAACTGTCATGATTGTAATGCAGCCTATGTTGGAGAAACATCCAGGCAATTGAATGTAAGATTGAAGGAACACAAACAATGTTTGAAAAATGTTCCCAAATCCTCGTTTGATTTGAAGAAACTTGAGAATAAGTCTGCGATAGCGTTACATGCATTAGAAACAGGACACAAGATTAATTTTGAAGGGATCAAAATACTTCAGAAAGGTTTTAACACCCATAAAGAAAGATTGACAGCAGAAGCGCTGTATATATGGGCGAACAAGAACAGCCTGAACCGAAAAGATGGTATTCAACTGGCGACTACCTGGCAAATTTCGTTATGACAAGTAATTTGAACCCTATCTTTATTCAACCTGTCTATTTCACATGCATCGTTATTTTTGACTGATTTCAATGAGTTTTTAGCAATACAATTTAGGTATTTGTTTGACATGTACAACGATGATTCATTAACAATTTTATCAACTTTGAACTTGCAATTTTATTTATTTACTTATTCCTTCATATATAACATATCAACACAGAACATCAATAATTAATCTCACACATACAATTTATTATTCAGTTAATTATTTCCATGTGGTTAATTTTTCACATAAATTGTAGTTAACTGACTTATTTTATCCTATTTTACAAAAATCAACATCCAAATTTGATTGGTGTAACACAGTATAGTTATGATTGTTAAAAGCTATATATTTCTTTGATGATTTTGATTATTACCCTGAAGAAGTCCAGACAGGTTGGCTGGACGAAACGTTGGAATTATTTAAATTTCAATCGCAGAGATTGTTTCATTTACAATTTTCATATATAATGTACTGTATAGTTATCGGTAAAGCTAATGGAGTACTTTTATTGTGGTTCCTTCACAGCACATTGTATGTTTCACGGAATTTGTTTGTATGTTTCTTGTAGATCAGGAGGTTTCTGAAATTCTACATAAATTTTCTTTTCGCGGTATGCATAGAATTCATATTTCGGAGGAACAGGTAAATAAAATACGCGAGAAATCTGTTTACGGTTATAATTCTAAGAAAAAATGTAGATGTTGGCTACACGGATATTTTTGTTCCATAAAAAGCTTGAATGTAGTGAAAGTCTAAACCGATAATTTAATTTTCTGAGGTATGTTAATTAAAAAAACACTCAACTTATCCTATCGCTATATCTGGGAATAGATTAGACGAGTAATAAAACAGGTCCTTGGTTGGGGAAATTTTGTACGGTCTAGTTAGTATCTCATAGGCTTAAATGGATTGAGATTTTAAAATCTTGGTCTTATCTGTTGGCTACTTCTATTAACTAGTTGAAGTAACTAGTGTTTGAACTTGTTTGTTAGCTTAGCTAAGCTTCTTTCTTTAAAAAGTAGGATTCTCCCGAAGCAGCGATCTTGGACTGTAATGAATCTTTGAACTTACAACCAGATTACGCCAAATGTTTGGAGCGACGTGCCACTTTGTTGGAAAGCAAGGACAGACTGTCAGATGCACTTGAAGATTATAAAAAAATTTTACAGTTAGACCCGAGTAATCAAAAAGCACGTCATGCATGTGCTGTAAGTTTGCTACTCATGTTAACGGTTACTTTCTACTGTTTTGTATTACTTATGTTACTGTTTTTAATTTTCTTTAAGGGAATTTAATTTCTTCTTAGCGTTTGGTAGTAACCTAGAAATTGTCTGTTAGTGAGGATCACAATTTCAAACTAATCAAGAGATATATGTTTAACTGGTAGGTAACAGTTAACTTCATTCGCTAAATGTTATCCGAGGTTTTTTCGAAAGTGACATAGTTCAATGTTCTGAATCCACCATTGCAAATGTTCTCCGCATGTGAGTTCGTGAGTGGTAGCTACGATTAACGTTTTGAGAGCAAAATGTTCATCTTCAAACAGTCAATGTGCTACTCAGAAGTCTATTATGTATTACTTGTGGGTTGTGAAACTTGAGTAGACATGTTTTTATTGCAAACGTTTATTCATGTGTATCGTCGATCTATTGTTGTAGTAAAGGTGGTTAGTTGGTTGAAGAGACTACCAACTTTTATCTAACAAGGTAATTGGTTATACATTCACTACAATCATCTGCTTCAGCATTTTATATAGAATGGCATCAAAGTGAGTTACGAAGTGCGTAAGGGTGACTAGGTCATGTAATGGTATCACCTTGCTAAGCTAAAAAGTGTTAGTCTTGTCTGTGTAGAAAGGTTTGGATTTTCTGGCTGGAGTATGCAAGGTATTCGTAATCCGTTGACTTATAAACCTAAACTTGGATATAGTCACGCAATTGTACTCATTCTTTGTCATCTTCCTATTCCTGGACATAGCAAAATTACGTACTTTTTTCCTCAGTCACATTAATTTATTTTGACTGACCTAACGCTGTTTATTTCTGCAAAACAAGTTTTATTTTCCTATAGTTCTTATCATGTTAGTTTTTTTATATTGTATTAATCTATGTAGGAAAATTCCATTATTTGAAAATGGCCTAAGTTGTGTGCTCGTATTTGTGAGACGTGTTATCTTTCTACTGTGTTATAAACAGCAGAAAAAGTGGTATGTATGTTATGAATTTGGCACCAAAACTTTCAGTTTATGCAAGTGTCGAAGTTGAGTAACGTGATAGCATGCAAAATCAATGTCTTATATTTTTTCAAAGTTGTTTTGTAAATACTGGATATTAGCTTCCTTTTAGTTCATCATCATTGTTGTACCCTCTATTATTCTAAAATTACGGTTGGGTAAATGAGTCTCATCGTTTTGCATCCCAAATGT